TGTTATAAAATGAAGCTAAACCGCATCTTGATTGTAAAAGAGAAATCGGTTTAGAGAGTATTGACTTGGAAGATCTTAATTGCTCATACAATTAATTTATGGATGACTTTATTTGATGTTTGGAAAAAGGAATACAAATGAACCAACTTTGGTGTTTATGAATTTCCATGGGTGGCCAAGAAAAGGTAAATGACAGGAATAGAAAATTGAAACAGATGAGAGGGTAATGGTTGTTTACTCTCTCCTGGAAACGTTCCACATTAGCTGATAAGCAGTGGGCAGTTATAGAACTGATCAACAGTGGAGTTGTAGACAAGTTTAAAATTACTAAGAAAACCATTTAAATTGAATCATATTTTAAAACTTTTCACGACTGATGTGTCTTAAAATTGATATAGGTACGTGTGAGTTTTTAACCAAAATAAAAAAAAAAAGTCTTCTAAAGAATTTATTGGATAAATAATTTGAACTCTGCTGAGCTCCCAAGAGCCATCAAAGCAGAATCTTCCTGCTGAGATAGCAGAATAGTATTCTGAATTACTGTGCAGGCAGAGAAGTAAATATATATATATATAAATCATATTTTGGCACAGGCCACAAAAAGATGTCATAATGTAATGACAGGACTACAGGAACAAAAAGGAGATTAAAAAAAAGCCTTGTATCATATATATTTCATTATTTCTTATTTACATTTTTATAATTTATATAATAAAAGGTAGCTTGACATGTTACTCATCTTACGTAAGTGAAATACTGATTTAATTGAAGAGTATCTTGAAAGCTTAGAGTCACGCATACCTCTGTATTTGCAGGAAAATGAATGTCACGCAGTCACTTCTTACCTTGTGCAGGTATCCATGACATGGTTATTATTAATATTACCCTTGTACACCATTGATATCTACTTGATGGGTTGGTTTAATTTTTGTAGTGTCTTCTTCTACTTATCCTGGCTTAAGACATTCTTTCCATGCTTAATTCAGCCCCACAATGTGAGTGGCACCCTTTCTCCAGGACCCCCTGGGCACAAGGCTCCTTTGGCTTGGTGTCCTGGCAGGTGAAGGTTTGTGCTCAGGACTTCCTCCCTTACAGGTAATCGCCATGTAGTCAGCAGGTTTTCCCAGTGCAGGTGGCGTGAGGTTCAGAACCACGCCTTGATGGCCTGGGTAGCAGGCACATGCTCTGTGAGGGCCGTGGGCATTCCCCAGGCACCTCAGCCCTCTTGCTCTAGGTGGCCATACTTTCCCTGGCAACTCTTCTGTGACAGAATTCCTCTTGGGATGTGTCCGGGATGATGCCAGTCACCAGCCCTGATCCTTTCCCCTCCTATCATGAAGGCCTGATGTTCCTTTAGGAAGGCTTCCCACTCTTTTCATATGGAAACTCAACCACTCAGTTATACGTACCTTGTCTTTCCATTACTAAACCATAGAGAAACCTTGATTTTTTCAAGAAAACAAAAGCCTTATGTTATAATACAATACAAATAAACAATTATAATAGCAACGTGTGTGCACACAGACATAATTAAAATCACACTTCAGAAAAGGTTAAAAAATACCATAGATAAATAAGATTTATTCCTACATAAACTGCAAAATTGAATCCTCATGACAATCCTGTGTTGCAAGTATCATACCTTCTATTTTACAAATGAGAAAAATAAGATTTCGGAAGTTAAGTTGTCTAAAGTGAGCAGCACAGTCAGGCTATGTACATGTCGTGCCTGACTGCATAGTCTGTGGTGCACATGTGCATGTCTACACTTATCACAGGCTCCCCGTGTTGGGGAACGGAGCCTCAGGACGAAACATGAGTCCTAGTGGTCATAAGCAAATCCCCTGTCCTTTCAATTACTCTGAATTTGAGCAAGTGAGACATAGCACTCTGTGCATATAAATGAGGCAGCACCTGTAGGCGTGGGTGTGGCTGTGGTGTGTGTACACATGTTCATGCCCATCATAGATAAATCAGGGCAGGAAGTGAGGGCAGATGGAAGGTCTGCATTTACTTAAATTACTTTAAAAGAGGATGGCTGTCCATTTTCATTTTGCCAATTGGGCATATCCAGGACTTCAGATATTTTTTACCATTAGAGTCTTAATACCCCTATTTTGTTAGAAATCTGTATAATATTTAAAACGATATTCAGTAATAGGACATTTTCTGTTTTCCAAATAATGAAAAGAAGTACTTTTTTAAGTATAGATATTTATAAGTTATTGTGTTAGTTATCTTAATAATGCTCAGAAAATAGAAAGAGAATTTAAAACACACCATACAGACTTCCCAAATGAACCAAAGTGATTTAAGATACACTGAATATTTCATATAATTAAAAACAATAAATCCAAGAATAAAATTAAAAGATTCAAGTAGTAAAGAGGAGATTGTGAGATAATTATATTTAAAACCAAACCTAAAAATTATTTCTATAATTAAGTGGAATTATGTTTGAATTCCTTAGCAAGTAAGTCAAAAAGAGCAACATTCTATTGATACAGTTTTCAGAGATTAACTAAAGGCCAAATTTTCCTAACCAAAGACGTCACAAAACTGGGGGAGGTGGGAAATCCTTGACATGTGCCACCCTTGGTTGGTTACATTGCAAGATATAAGTGATTGCACCTCATATGGAATGTTTGAAATTAAAAGTTTTGAAGTTTGGTTATTTATACAATCCAAGGAAATATCCTTATTAAACTCCATCATGCATACTACAAAACTTTAAATAAATATTTAACATTTAATGACATAAATTCATGTCTTTATTTTGAAAGAAGTCTCTGATACTCTTCTTGTGTGTGTCAATGGCTTTGGTTATGGGAACCCAGGGCCAAGAACATGGAATCAGGAGGAACCACAAAGAGAAATGAGATACATTTAATGCCCTGGGCTTGTTCTAAGGTTCAGGGATGAATAAGAATAGACTTAGATTAAAATTTTTATTTTTTAATTATCTAAAAACTACTGTATCTCTCTCCTTCTTTTTTGATGTATAATACAGTGGTTTGCAACAATTTCAATCATGTAAGCATTTAGACAGACAGGTGTTATGGGCTGAATGCTTGTGTCCACGCAAATTTGTATGTTGGAGCCTTAACCTTCAGTGTGATGGTATTAGGAAGTGGAGAGGTAGTTAGGTTTAGATGAGGTCATGAGTATGGGGCCCTCACGATGAGATAAGTGCCCTTGTAAGAAGAGGAAGAGACACCTGTACCATGCAAGGAGACAGGAGGAGGCAGCTATCTGCAAGCCAGAAGAGATGGCTCGCCAGGAACCTAATCAGCCAGCACCTAGACCTTGAACTTCCAAGCCTCTAGAACTATGAGAAATAAATGTCTGCTGTGTAAGCCACCCAGTTTGTGGTATTATTTTGTTACAGCAATCCATTCTGACTAAGACAAAATGATTGAACATACAAACATTAAATTAATTTACCCAGTCACTGGATTTGCAAATTATTTATTTCTCTACTTTATCATAAATATATATTTTTAATATCCTGGATTCAGTAGACTGAGTCTAAAATACAAACTCTGCTTCTGACACCTCTATTGCCTTGGGCAGGCAGGTTGGCCTCTCTCGACTCCAGACTCCTCTGTAAAATAAGAAAAATTACAATAAATACCCAGGAGAAGCACACGACACTCAGGAAGAGCTCATTCAGTGTTAGTTTTCTTTTATTTTTACAGAAATAAAATATTTACTAGTTACAGCTCATCAGGTTCACAAAACTTAATTTCTGTAACCACTTTCTCACAAAGAATATATGATTTGTTTTCAATTTTATTAATTTTGTACTTATATGGTACAATTGGTATAAGTGTAAATATAGGTATTTTAAATATCACATTATTTCCTTAAAAAAATTCTTAAGAATGAAATTGCTTGGAGAAAATGCATTTAAAAATATTTATTGGCAAATTTCCTCCTGAAAGAAAACAGTTATGGTTGAATATTTATTTTTATTTACCAAAAACTTGTATGCAACAGTAATATGCTTTTAGTATTTTTTCCTAAGTAGTAGGCATGAAAGTGCTAGATTCTTTTTTAAATTTTTATGTTTGTTAATTAATGAGGTAGAATGATTTTAAGCTTTTCTTTTCCCTTTATTTTTGAACATTACATTAATAGCGCACTTCATTGTAAAATAGTATACAATACAGATGTAAATGGAGTAAAGATAACGAATGCCCCTCACTTTACTTACCCATCCACTCAGAGTTAACTGCTCTTAGCAGCTTTTTCAGCATGATAGCACAACATTTCAAATTTAGATAATTTGATAAAATATGGTACATTATGCTAAAATGATTATTACAACAGTCACAAAGAAATAAAATCGTGGAATCCATGTTCTACAACATGCTGTTTCCGTAAGTTATATCACATGGACTAGTTTCATATTCAGCTTATTTTTAACACCTGCTTATATTTACAGACTATTACTGTTCCATAATTTACTTAATATTATTGGAGATTTAATTTGCATAGTTGGTAGGAATACATTTGACTGCAAGAAACAGAACAGCAAACTTGATGACTTAAAACAATGATTTATCGTTTTTAAAGATTGTCCAGAGGTGAGGAATCCAAGGTTTTCTACGGAGACTCACTGGTGGGGCATGAATTCTGGAAGCAGCTACCTCCTGCCCTGGGCCCCATAGGAGATGAAGTGTGCCTCCTGCACCCTCTGCACTTGAGGGATGATGTGGGTCCTTCCTCTTCCTTTTATCCTTTAGCAGGCTTCAGGCTCGTCTCTCTTGATGCCTGTGTGCTCATCTGATCACATACTAAGCAGATTCATTTGACAATCTGGCTACTTACACAGTGGGTGAAAACTACAAGAAGCCATTAGAAATAGCTGGGTGATGTTTTCCTTTCTAGGTCTGGGTTTGGAGTGAGGGTTGATCATTCCTGCAGCCGTGTGTGCTGGGTAGGTCTAGAGCTGTGTTCCAGAATGTGCACTCTAGGATGCTGTAGAGCTGGGCCCCCTTGGCAAACTCTTTGTACAGTTCCTGCCTTGACCTCCCTATAGCTTTTTTTTTTCTTCCTTGTTAATAAATGAGCATTAACATTAGTTTATTTTACACCAGCTGCTGGGCCAAAAAGAGTAATGAATTGGATCTTAATAGATTAACTGGACTAACTCAGAAATCAAAGATAAACCCAATGGATGTGCTCTTCAAATATAAGAATTGGCCTTTTAACTATTTTTTTTAAAATAATGAAAATAAAGGAACAAATTGAAAATTACATAACTGGACTCTGCTGGCACCAAAGCGCCCTGTATTTTCATGTGAGGTCTTATTCACAGAAGAATGTCAGGCAATTTTATGGATGTATTTTGAGAAAAATAAACCAGTAGCAATTTGTGCTTAATCAATTACCAGATTAACAATCTTTAATTCCTCTGGAAATCACACTGACTAGTGCCCAGCAAGTGAATAACTACGAGGATATTCTGTAAATTTTCTACATATTTTCTAGCAACTGAGCTGTTTACTTAGTAGAAGTCAGGTGTAGTTATTCCTAAAACTGTTATACCACTTGTATTTTTTATGATAATTATACAAATTAAACTACTAAATGATAAAGGACAAATAAAGAGTTACAATTTTATTAAGATTAATTTAAATAATTTAGAAGGACCTGATAAATGTGACTCACCAAAAAATAAATATAACAAAATTGTAATAAATGAGTTAAATACATTAAAATTTATTCTGATTCTTCATTTAAATTATCTCAAAAGTGTCAATGGGTTCCGGATAGATTTTTTAAAACAATGTTTTTATTAAGAAAAATATCAAACCTTTATCAAAGTAGAGAAATAACATAGTAAATAGCTGTTTACCCATATTCCATTGTTATAATTTTACAAGAAATACAAATCATGAGCAATCTCATTTCGACACTTTTTCTACAGACTTCCTCTCTCTTCTCGGATTATTTTAACTCAAGCACCATATTGTTTCATCAGTAAATATTTCAAAACATATCTCAAAATATGGCTTAATATTTAAACTTAACTAAAATGCCTGTATCCCACCTAAAAATTAACAGTAAGTGCTTACATTTTGTTCAGGTTTTTTTTTTATTTCTATTCACAGCTTTTTTATTTGAATCCAGAAACTATCAGAATAAGGTAGATATATTGAAATTGGTTGATATGTATTTTAAATCTTTTCTAATACGTGAATTTATCTCTTTTCAAATTATGCATCAAGGCCCTGAGTTTGGGGCTCTGCAGCTTTTTTCGCAGGTGACATCATCACCGTAGTGCTTTTTTCCTGTGTTCCTCTCTCCACTGTAATTATTAGAATTCATGATTGGATCCAGCATCTTAATCAGATTTAGGTTCGATATTTTCACAAAAATACTGTAAGATTTGGGATGAATCCCAACCTCACATAGAACGGGAAGACTCGCCTCGAAGAGACCACAAGACCACAAGCACTGCAATTAGCAAGAGGTTTATTATTTCCAACGCGTTGGGTTCTCACCGCCAAGCTGGGGTGAGACCCCGTCAGGCTTTTTAGCTGTCTTTTTATACATTTTTTTGGGGCAGTTTTCTTGGCAGCCAGGAGACAAAGCAATAAACAATATTCATTGGTTAACTTGAGTGACCTTAAAGCCCATTGGAGGGCACCCCACCCGTTTGTAGGTGATTTCCCTTTTGATTTCCTAACTAATAAACATTGGGCCATCTGCAGGTTAGCTTTGTTTAAAGACTCTGCACTTTGCAATGTAGCGGTCACAGGTTTGTGCTAGCGTTAGCAAGAAAACCACAGACTGTCAGCTTTGAGCTTTTCCTGTGACAGACTGCCAGCTCTGAGTTTTTCCTGTGACAGAGGAGAGGTTGGCCAGCTCTCAGCGACCCCTCCTCTTGTAACCACATACTCATCTCTTTTTACCCAGGTGTGAGGTGACCCCTCACCCAGCGGCCCTATGAAAACATGTTTTTCGTGGAAAGTTCCACGCTCTACAGCGACCTGTTAGCTTTAGCTCCTGCAGCTCAGCTGTGCTCTGGGGTGCAAAACATCCTGTGTGTCTTGCAGGTCCTAAGAAGAGGGGGAGTAGAGTATGCCCCTAGGCATAACAGCTTTTAAGATGGCTTTACTGTAGCTAAGTTAGAGCAAGCTAAGTGTACAGAAGCGGATTGCACAAGTTAGTATTCTTCAATACATCATAGACGGCGGCACTCTTTACCTCCCTCAAGGAGGCAATTTGATCCCTTTTTGTTTGTAAAAGATTCTATTGATGACCATTGACTAAGTTCACTAGTTCAATAGGAATTGCAAATAGGAATATTCTAGTTCTTTCACTCATTCTTCATTTATGAACTGAAATACTCCAGAAGACACATCTTTTATCAACTATTTGGTTACCCACATCTGTCCATCAACTATTTGGTTGCTCTGAGATAAAATTTGAATAGGAAAATCAAGATAAATACTTCTTTTATTTTATTTTATTTACTTAGATAATGAGTTGATTAATAAGTATCTTCTAAATGGGAAAAATTAAGTATGTGAGTGAGTCTGCATGAATGTTTGTGGAATTTGTGTATATGTTTTTGTATTCTGTATCCTTATAAATGTTTAAACAAATCTGATGTTTCAATGCATCATAGTTTTTTTATTGAAATATAGTTGATTACATGTATTGGTGGGGTAAAGAGTTGAATATCAATACCTGTGTACAATGTGTGGTGATTAAATCAGGATAGTTAGCATATTCACTATTACACAACAAAATCATTTCTTTGTGTTGAGGACGTTCATTCTCTTCTAGCCTTCTGATAGCATGTAGTAAATCAGTGGTAATTATAGATGCATAGCTTGACTTTACATCAACAGAACTTATTTTTCCTAACTAGCTCTTTTGTGTCCATGAAGTAATTTCTCGCTATCCACCTGTAGTAACCACAGTTCTGCTTTCTCCTTCTGAAAGGTCAACTTATAATTGTTGTTTGTTTGTTTCTTATTTATATATTTATTTATTTTTTAGATCACATTTATGAGTGAAAATGTGTGGTATTTCTCACAGAGCTTCTGAAAGGTCAACTTATAATTGTTGTTTGTTTGTTTCTTATTTATATATTTATTTATTTATTAGATCACATTTATGAGTGAAAATGTGTGGTATTTCTCACAGAACATATGCCTGGCTTATTTCACTTAACATAATTTGTTCCACATTCATCCACACTGCTGTGAATGGCAGAATATCATTATTTTTTCAGAGTGAGTAGTATTTCATTGTATATATGTACCACATTTTCCTTATTCATTTGTCCATTGATGGACATTTAGGTTGTTTTCATATCTTGACTGTTGTAAGTAGAGGTGGGATAAACATGGGAATGCAGGTATCCCTTTGACATGATGATTTACATTCCTTTGAATATGCACCAATTAGTGGGATTGCTGGATCAAATCATCTCAATTTTGGTGGCTGGGGATCTCTTTTAGTTAGCTAACATGTCCTTTTGACAGTCACTGATAGATTCTTTAGTTTTTTTCTTTTGAGACCATCTAGGCACATTGTGTACATTTCCTACCCCAAAATGGACTCTGACCTTTCTTAACAGAACCCTTGTGACTTCCTGTAGGAAATGGCATTTGAAGACTGTCATCTAGATGCTCTGATGCCCTTTACTGTGTTGGTCCTTGTTCCTAAGATTTCGTGTAGAAGGGTTAGGATGATTTAAAAAACAAAAACAGACTATGAACAGATATATACCACGTAATAATTTTTATACTGTTATGAGTTATAAGTTTTATACTGTTATAAGCTTAACAAAATATGTACCTAAAAATAAATATAAATTGAAATCTGTGATAAATTCCATGAGAAAAGTAGGTAAAATGCAAAATTTTGACATTAACATGCTTTTTTCCCCCCTAGAATTTAGGTATATATTATTTGTAGCCAATTCAACAGAATTTCCTAACTGAATCTTTAGATGGTTCCCAAATCCCATAAAACGATGTGCAAAATATATGCTAATGGAGGGAGGTCTCTTGCCAAAGTTCATGACTCAATAATTTAAGAACCATACTTCTCTCCCTCTTTTTTGTTCCTATTTTATCAGCCACTAACTGATGTAATTATATTAATATTTCACATGGGGCTGCTGGTTTTGGATATTCTTTCATCCATTTCTTGCAGACTTTATTTTGCATATGTTGATATTATGTTATCACAAAAATGTGCATGTTTGCCATTTTCGTCTTTTTGACTGTACACATTATGAATAAAATATGCCACTATCCAATTTAATACATTGAATTCTTCTTATTTTCTGATACAATATTGTCATCCATGCATTTTAAAAAATTTACATTCACCTTGTACAGATCTGCTATTACTCTATGTGTCTATTCTATTCTGCTTAAGGCATATTTCTCATAAACAACAGTGCATATCTGAGTTTACTTATATTTTAATTCACTGTAGAAATATTTAATTTTTAAAATAAATAGCATAGAAAACAGCAGACACTCATTCTAGCTCTCTAGTCAGAAAAACTGAGATAGAAATCTGCATTATATTGTTTACAGGTTGTTTTGTGGATTTAAAAAAAAAAACCTTATAAACTATTTACACTCATGTAAGGACTGAAATAAAATTCTTCAGCCAGACTTGCAGATGAGTTTAAGGAGCTCGGTTGGAAATGGAGAAAATGTCTCTGAGTGTAAGAGGCAGGTATTGTGACCTTTTCTCAAGACAATAGGAAAATGTCCCATGATGTTCCTTACATGTATTCATTTCTCGTTTCTTTTAAATAAGGAAAGATGTTTCCTCTACAGCTAGTTTGTAAAAAGAAAAATGATAAAACAAAGAACTGGGATAAAATAAATAAAAGCATGAGCTAAAGTATAATTACAGCTTCAAATACTTGAACAGATTGTGCTTCTTTACCTGGAAAATTCCCATTCACTGCATCATTTGACTCAAAATGATATAAGGGTGCTTCGGTTTGCATCATGACCGTCATTTCTTGTAACATCAAATATCTGACTCAAACAAAAAGAATTTAAAATAGTTAATAATTGGGTAAATGTGAAAGAGGTTGGAAGTGGAACTTCCAAAAGCTCTGGACTTTTTAAATCAAAACTCTCTCATTAGAAGTAAATGATGTAGGAAACATTTAAAATATATATCACTTTGGCTTTTATAACAATTTATATTTAAATATTTTTCATCATCGGGTGCCGGGCATTTACTTTAAACATGTTTACGGCATTTGGTGTAACAAAATTATCCTTAAAAGTTTTGTAAACTCATTTCAAAAAGCAAAGGAAAGCTTGCAGCTCTGGAAAATGAAACAATGTATAACCCAGCTTTGTGGAAAGTTTCTGCAGTGGGTTATCTGGGTAGGCCCTAAATTTATAGACAAGTGTCCTTACAAGAGACACACAGAGAAGAAGAGAAGGCAGAGGCTGGAATGAGGTAACCCCCCAGCTGGGGACAGCCCTGGAGTGGCAGGCAGCCCCCACAAGCTAGAAGAGGCAGGAATGCTGTCCCCCGCTGTACCCAAGGGTATGTGGCCCTGCTCATACCTCAATTTCAGTCTCTTGGCTTCCAGAAGTATGAAAAATGACTGCTGTTTATGCTTCCCGCTTGTGACAATTTCTTACAGGAGCCTCCAGAAACTCTTCATGGTACTGTTAAGAAACATGGTTTTGACCAAGAAGTAGCAAAAACTCTCCCTGACCTAAGTCTGCTGGGCTCCTCTAAGGCCTCCAGGCCCTGCCGTTGGTACCTGTCCTGGCCAGGCCTGCCTCTCCCAGTTTTCAAGAATCCTGCTCAGTCAACTTAGAACACATACCTTTGATATCTGACTACCTGGATATATGATCCACTTCCTCATCCCCCCTGGTGTCTCTGGTCACCCTGGCCTGCCTTCTGCAAGAATCCTAGTAGATGGGTTCAGCCAGAATCCCTACCCCCATGTCTCCTCTTAGTGACTTTCAGTACTCTGACTCTTAGAACACATACCTTTGATATCTGACTACCTGGATATATGATCCACTTCCTCATCCCCCCAGGTGATCTCTGGTCACCCTGGCCTGCCTTCTGCAAGAATCCTAGTAGATGGGTTCAGCCAGAATCCCTACCCCCATGTCTCTTCTTAGTGACTTTCAGTACTCTGACTCCCACCCTGCACCTGAGCTGTAAATCCCTTTTCCTTGTGTTGGGAGTAGTCTCCAGACCCCTCACCACAGTTCTGAATAAAGTCTCCCCTACAGTCTTTAACAAGTGTCAGAATATTTTTTCTCATAGTAGGTAAGTGGACTTTTACAGTATAAACCATAGCTATGGGGATGGACATTTCTTTGAGACTGGATATGCGTTGGACACTGTTCTTGGTGCTATCTATGTTTTGACTACTTTTTCCTGCTGCAGCCTTTTGATACAGAATCTTTTGTCTTCCTTCTCCAGACAACGAAAGTAAGAAAAAGAGAGAAGACGGATAGCCGTCCAGGGCTGTGTCGCTGCATCAAGTTATATTAGGTAAAGTTAGAGTTTTCTGGTCCAAGTACAGTAGCATATTAAAAATATGATTTCAAATTATCTTAATAACACCAATAATAACTCTTTATATGTAATAATAATGCTGGCAAAATTAGTTTTATTATTGCAGAAATGCAAAAATACCTAATAAAAAGTTAAACAAGCAGTATACAAAATCTACGTAAAAACTTAGCTAGCAACTATATATTAAATTATGTACACTAAATATTTCTCCTTACGGGTATCTCTAACAATCGGACTGACTTTTTTTTTCTCTTACAAAAGGTTAAAAAACGATGTTTAGTGACAGGGTTCAGAAATTATTGTCTACTGGAACTAGATGTCCTTCAGGGAGGAAATCAAAAATTTTAGACTTAAAACCACCATTTGTAAAAAATAGAAAGATTTGTTTAAAACCAGTCTTTGTCACTGACATTTGTGCTTAATGTGCATAATAAAAGCATTTAAAAATTATTTTTCTGCATATTGATTATTTAAAATGAATTAACATTTGCAGTAAATGTGCATGAGTAATTTATTGTAGCTTTATCATTAAGATGATGTAGATTTCCTAGGGATATTTATATTATATTGTATTGATATAATGTAATTAAAATATTAAATAACTGCCTTTCCTACTTTAGAAATAATGTGAGTTTAGGTTGAAATGGGATTCTTACACTAAGATCAAGGCAGTTTGTCTCTGGGCTCAGACTTACTTTAAGGCTTCAAGTCTTAAAGTAATTGGTTTAGTTCAGTTTGAATTCTTAGTGATTCAGAGACAGAAATATTCGAGGGAGGTTTGTCTAGACGCCCACTCTTCTGTTAATAATGGTGGGAGGGGTGGTAAATTGTGAAATTTAAAATCTAGCATAAAAGTTAGTGAATTTAATATTAAAGTCTTTGGCACTGGATAAAGAAGTAGAGAGTGACACAGATTGCAGCATGTCCCTTGTTCCTGCGCTTAAAGTCAGGTCCTGGACAGGAGGGGTCAGCAGCTGCATTACCTGGGGGTGAGAGGAGGGGAACCTGGTGAAACTGAAGCTGTGCCGAAAAGTGGGCAGGGTAGGAGTCGATCTCATTACGAACATTTCTCAGACACCAGCCTCTTGGAGGTCCACTGAGCTCAAGCTGCAAACAGATCTGTCCGCAAAGTCAGGCTGGAAGGTGCTGATGCCTCCTTTCAGAAGCCAGTGTCCCTTCCAGACACTGTAGCAAGGTGGTTGCTGGAAACACAGGAGCCTTCGTTTCTTCCTGTACCTCCTGCTGAGTGTAGACACTAGCTGGACATGGAAAACAAGAAAAATTACTACTAAGAGCCCCAATTACTACTAAGAGCTCATCTAAGTACTAAATTCTCAGATCACATAGAGGAAAGCCTCATACTAATCAACTCCGAAGCAGTTAAAAAACGAAAAAATATAAAACAGAAAAGTGACGAGTGACCCTGACCAGGCACATGGAGGAAACCACACATCTGGACAGCCTGCTGGGCAGCCTGCTGTGCAGCATCACATCCCAAACAGCGATGTTCAGCATTTTCAACCAGAAAAGCCCTCAAAGATGACCTTTGTCATTCACTTTTATGGTACGTTCCCCACAGAATGCAAAACTGAGCAATGTGTTCTTTTTATTAGAGCTTGTATTTGAACACCTGAATTGAAACCTTTTAAGTAATAATTTACTATTATATTCTCGATTTATTGAAAATTTAACTTTGCAGGGTGGCACCCAAATTGACAAGATATAACTCATATTAGGAGTTATCTTCAAACAATGTAAATTTAAATATGCAACTGAAATATCCCATTTCTTTGTGTGGTACGTGTGAACGCACATGTATATTTTGGAAAAAAATGGCAAAACTATGGTCCCTCAAAAAACAATGCATTTCAAAAATTTAATGCAAGTTTTTGAAGATTTAATGATTCTTGATATTACATTACTGACCTCCTGAACTGAACTTTAAAATTAGTTCTTAAGTAGTATGAAGATAAAAATATCTATATTTATTTGAAGGCCTTTTACATATTTGGGAGTTTTTCCTCTGTATTGTGAGATACATCCTACATATACAAAAGTGCATGCAATCTATCTATACACTTTGAGGTAAAATTATATTGCTAGTCAGTGTAACCATCAACTGGAGAAAATGTTCTTAATGTGATACTGAAACGGTGTCAAAGTAATTAAAGCTGTTTTGTACTTGATTTACATGATATTTAGGATTTTAAGTTAAAATAATATTTTAAATGGCTTTTTCCAAAAAAATAATAAACTAATTCATTTATCTCTATAAGGCTCAAAATATATATTTCCTTTTTCAGTGCATTGTGATTAATATAAAAATATTTCCTTTTTTATATATGTGAATTTTTGCATATCATCATT